CGTTAGGGTGAAAAACGATCGACCGGACGGCACAAACGCCGTTAATTAATCGATATCCCACCGGCGCGCGTACGATGGGTTTTTAGGTACGCAACGCGCGCGGCATAACGTCAAGTACCTATACGGCCCGCGCTTACACGCCATGCGCACGCGCGTTAAGCCGCCGCACCGGTGCGCACGAACCCCCGTCGGCCCCCGCGCTCCGTGCACTGGCGACCGTAACGCGCACCACCGTGTGGTGCGCCCGTTCGTATAATACGAATTAATTACCGACAATTTATTAACGCGACTTTTCCGACGTTTTATTCAAATATTCTCGACCCGGTCGAGTAGTTCACGCATCTCGCAAGAGTAAAAAAAAAAAAAACGAAAAAAAAAAACGAAACGAAATACCTGTGGTCACGCGCGCGCGCGAAGGGGCGTCCCGAACCAATGGCTTTCGTACAACAACACGTGTTGCGTAGTTTATGCGGCTCTCCACTGTCCGACAGAACAATATCGGTACGCGTTGCCCGGAGCCGTGTACAACAGGGCTTAAAGTGTTCGAAAATTCCGTGCTAAGCATGTGGAAAAGATAAACGTAGCCTGATCTGAAAATCCGCGTATCGCGTACGCATTTGATGCGCGATTTTTTCTATATTTTTTATAACAAACCGATTCTAGGGTGTTAATAATGCACGTTGATTGAACGTTTTTGTAACTCCGACGTTCAAATGCCGTATCGCTGCATAAAAGTAACTACTTACTTTTTGTACTGCACGTCGTGCATCGTAGCGCTCACAATTGCAGGCGCACACGATCGTTGCCTTCGTCGGAATACACCGGTAAATCACCGCGGTCCGTTTTCCGGACAGTGTTCTCCTGAAAGGCGGGTGAAATCTTTCGATTTACATTTGGATTTCTACGTTGGACGATATTATTGTTGCTCGGACAGGGTTTGTATCAAATAACGGTGTCTTCGTATTCGTAACCGTGTGATCGCCAGTAGAATATTACGTGTAAGATAACCAATCACAAGCGACTGCGTTTGCGTAGTTCTATGTGGTGTGATCTCTCCCAGACGCCACCGATGACGGTTTTCGGTTGAAACTCCGTTGTTTTTGCATACGCGTGCACGTTACGACGCAAGAAATTGAATAAGCATTTATTATTATTGTTTTTCGTCTCGTTAATAATATAATATCATGCTCATTTTATTTCGCTCGGTAAAAACAACACCGAGTAGGCGTAAACAGACCGACGGCGTAACAAATTCCTTCGACGGGAAATGGGCGTTTTGTTCCGACAGAAACTGAACGCGCGCCGATACCGATTAAAACACGAGAAATTATCATCGTAGTATAATCATGACGGGCTTGTCTAAATCATTCGAATCAAATACTTCAAATGCTAATATGACATTAGTACGGAATGAAAAAAGTATGCTATAAAATCTTGACCTGTTAGATTTATTTTTATTACATTTGGAAACAGTTGAACATTTTAATTTAAACGGTAGATCAACACACGTTTATCTCAATTGCATTAATATTGAATACATAATATTTGATTTATCTTACCGTATTGCTATTTATTGTAAACCCATTTGATTAAGCTACTATGTTTGTAGTTGAATAATTTGCTTATAGTTTTAAACTTATTGCATTAATAGTTATTACGAATTATAAAAAATGCTTTATAATGTATTACTGGTAATTGGACACGACGCTAAATCAAATAATAATATTTTAAATTAATACACGTTGGATTTTAAATACGAGGGTATCATAATGATTTTATTCATTATAAACTGTAAACATTTTCATAAAAATCGGTTTGAAATAAAACTTATCCGTGAGAAGAAACTAGAATACAAGCTAAAGTAATTTGAAAGAGAATCATATTATATTATTTGATTTGTAATCAGTAACATTTAAGTAATTAAATATAAAAAACGTTGGTACGTTTTTATCAACTCTAAAAAGAAGTTAATGTATATAACTTGTACATTATGTAAGTTATGTATATAACTTGTTTTCTTTAAACCAAAACATTGTATTTCTAGTTTAATCGAAATAATTGTAATGATGTGCTTAGTTTTCATATTTTATTGTACGTTTGTAAAATATACCAAATTCAGAGACCATTAAGATAAGGAATATACTTTAAAATCCATTTTTCTACTCACGCAATTTGTTAGTAAAACTTTACACAACATAGCACTTTCTTTATTGAATAGTTAATCTTAGAATTGTAGACGCTCTCGACAACAATGTCTTACGCGAGACCGTATTCGGTACTTATATTTGTGAGAATTGCTGTGAGGATGAGTCGAACATCTAATGCGAGTTCGTGTGCGCGCGCGTGAACATGTATTAAGTATACGAGTACAAATATATCGTATAATGATTTGAAAAGTAATATTAACGGTATAATCACTAGTTTAATCGGCTCGAAAAAAAAAATAATAATAATAAATACTTTAGAATCATCAGTCATATTAATACTTTTTTTATAGGATTCGACGGATTACCGTGTAAAATGTGATAATGTGATACCTATATTTCATTGGAGTCTTAGAACACACATCCATTTATATGCATCACTTACAGATGCACGCGTGTGTCGTGTATTATCACCATGTGCAGTACGATATTATTAAACGTTATAGGTCTATTGTGTGCGCCGAATAAATCGGGAGGACGTCGTTTAAAGTTACGCCGGGTGATTTTTCAAATTAGTGGAGAATGCGATGTAAACGGTCGTGTGCAGGCCATATTATTATTATTATTATTATTATACATGTACGGCTATACACTCGTCGAGTTATTGTGTAATAATGAAAAACCCCAAGCACGCGGCGTAATTTGTCGACAGTAGCTTTTTATAATATATACCGTGCTTTAATAAATCCTGTGCGGTCCACGGAAAAGTATTATTGTGCCTTGTGCGTATGGAGGGATAAAGGTCATAACTATTCCCGAACACAATAGGTATGCAGCAATTTCACTTTTTAAATCATTATTTTTTTTCTTCCTTCTAAGTCCCGTGTAATTCGGCCGTAATCGTAAAAAAAAAAACCTAAGGTAATAATTCAGAAAAATAAACAAATAAAATATATGTTTTTGACCATGACTTACGGTGGGAATAATGCCTACACATAGTTTGCTCTTGGTGAAAAGCTTAGCATCATATTCTATGTGTACTACTGCACAGGCATCTTATACCAATTCGGTGGTACAACGATGGTTTGGTGTCAATTATTTATAATAAAATTCCTGAATGCCACTCGAGATCAAAACAATACTTTTGGGTTCAGATAAGAATATGTGTTTTATTATTTTCCCTTTAAATTTAAATTTGTGTTAATGAGCATGAGAGTCAGTCACATCATATAAATATGTTCTTATACCAACGAACCGGTTACCGTATAAGAACCGTATGGTATTTTTCCGACCGGGCAACAATATATATATACGTATATGTAATATGTATATACGTTTAATATTCTAATCGATTTCGAACAGGCGCCTCCTTTTACCGACAATTATTATTCTTTTGACTCACACGGATTAAACAACCGCCCCCTACGTATTCGTTTATACCGATAATAATATTATTATAATGTATGAATCGTTGTTGTGACTATTATGGTACTGAAAAAAAAAATCTTTCTAACTCGATGGTCTTGTATATAATAATAATAGTATGTATACTCATTCATGTGCAGTGAAGTATTTTTATGATGTAGATTTTTCTCGTTGGTGAAAATAGTATTTTGCTCTCTAACATACGTAAGGTCTTTCACTATGAATCAGTCAAAGGGATTCTTCAGGCACAAAAACCAATATAAATTATTAGGTATCTATAAGTGATTTTACACGCTAGGTAGAATAAGAAGTAGGATAGTGTTTATAGAAAAAATAATGTTAGGAATAATTTTTTCGTTTTTTTTCCATGAACATTTATAGTTAAATTTTATTACATTTAAATAATATATTGCCGATGATCTTGAGTTATTTCGCTTTAAACTACTTTGACTCCTTACGTGTATCCAGATATTATGTTGTTTTAACCATTCGGTTTCTTATAATAAAATATTTTTTTTAGAGTTATTTATAAAGCTTAAAATATGTTCACCTTAAACACGTATATATATATATATATATATATATATTTTTTAATAAAATATTTATACACGTATATGTAAAATATAGTATTATAATCTGCGACATAATAGCGAATGGAATGACATAAACATCACGGTTACAAGATATTATTTTAATGCTGTTGTACACAAACATTCCGTGCAACGTAAAGTATGCATTTTTCGCAGGTACTGTTCATTTATCAATTTAAAAATGTTTTAACCGTATTCGTTATGTTTAGGTATATTACCAACCATGACATAATATTGCTTTATATAATTATAAAAGATTACATAAGAGACCATAAATTCGATCTATTCTTGTGTTATATTCTTTATAGTAAATTATTCGTTATCGCGCATAATCTCGGAACGATGTAAAGACATAGCTCTGAAGATGTGCCTATGAACATAATAATATTATGCACTACTTTTCTATTGTTTGCTGAAACATTATCGTATGTTGATTATAATTTGGATGTATTAAAATTAGTCACGAAAAAAAAACTTATATCACGATCGATTTACGTACATTTAATTAGATACAACTCATTGTATTGGAATTCGTGTAATATGCAAGCTCAATATTATGTGCTAGATCATCAAAAAAAATTTTTTTTCAATTTTTTTTGGCGCCACACTATCATTCCTTTAGATAACCGCACTAGTAATATAAATATATATTTAGTGACTGAAACTAGTGTATATATACAGTATTCTCTATACTCAAACGTTTGTCAAAAAATGTGTCGTACATAATATCACGGTTTTGTTTTAATCTAAAATTTTACTTACACATGTAGCTAGTATGATTATTTTGTTTCGTGTTCTATACGTAGGTATACTTATCAACTTATAAATGTTTTCGTTTCAGTTATCTTGCAGAGAACTTCGGTGAATCTGGGGCAGCTAAAAATTCAAGGTGTAGCAACTTGCATGTACTTGTGCTTGGACGCGTGTGGCCTGCTATACGGCTCGGTAAGGCATATATATATATATATATATACATTTAATTTTATAAAATATTATCTAACAATATTTAAACATGTTCTTGACTTTTATTAATACAAAAATATTCGTATCATTGGAAAATAGGTGTATTAGTTATCTATAAAAATATAGTCTTGGCTGGCATGTTCGGGTATCAACATATTTATTTTTTTTATTTTTTTTACTATTATTATTACTATTATAATTAAATAACGATGATAAAGCGTTATGTGTAGTACTGTAACATATGCGTGTATGTTTTATATCATAGTGAGCTTTACAACTGACTTGACAATGTTCCCTAGTCATCATTACTAGTTATTTATTCTTGTACGAAACGCACTATCTATCAAACGGGTTAGATCCGTTCGGGATAAACCGCCTATGCGGACATATTATATAAAAATAATAATGTATTAAATATTATGTATAGGCACGTGTATTGATATTATTTTGTTGTTTACCCCGTATTCGCGGTTTCAAAAGGCGTATATTCATGAGCGATTATTTTAAATCCAATCGATCTTAATGATATATACTATAGGTACATTTTATTTTATTGTTTTGTAAATCTGTACTTTTTTTTTTTAGCGTCGCTAGAACAAAATTTAAATGCGTGTTTTAAATCTTACATAGATACACTCGATAATATTGACATGCGCTTCGTGTGGGTCTAACTCTAAATCCATAAATTATGTTTGTGTAATGTAACTAGGACGGTGGGTCTATTCTTAATGTGCTATGTAGCGAAAATATTTGTACGACAGTGATTTAGCCTACACCGTTTACAAAACTCATGTATTTAGTATCTGGTTTACCTTAGTGAACAACCGTAGAACTTCATTTGGAACGAAAATCATTATAAATCAAACACATAAGAAACGTGTCCAAAAGTATATAATTTGCATTCTGGTTACATTGGGATGCATACGATGTGTAAAAAGTAGAAGTATTCTTGACAGCACGCAACTGGTGTATGTATAGAATGTGGTATTTTGACAGATTAAACGTTTATTTCCCAACAGTATACTACACTTTTTAATAAAACACTTGTATTTTAGTGTTCGATCGGAAAATTTTTTGACGATTTTCGTAAATCTTGAAATGGCCAAAACTACTTTTACGGTGTCTACACATATTTTAATTTATAGTGCAATTTAATAATTCAAGCATCAGCATAAAATTGGCTGTTATTTGTTAGTGACTTTCACAACCAAGGCTGGATTAAGAGGGGGGGGGGTCTAGCCGGGGCGGTAGCCCCGGGGCCCTCTCGAGTGCCCAAGTGAAAGGGGCCCAGACAATTTTAAGCCGATACACATTTTTTATCATACTAAAATAGTTTTATAGACATAAATTTTATAATGCAATTAACAATTTATGAAATAGTTAAAAAAATGTATCTTTCTGCTAGCGTAGCGAGCGGCTTTGTAAAGCATGTTTTGTCAAAAGAGCCCAATAGGTGCTTAATTCGGCCTTGTTCACAGCACAATAATATCTAGTTATTATTCAATAATGAATTAACTAAATTGTTTCTTGTCCCCGACGAGAATCGACATTTTCCAATGGAAGAAAACTACTTATTTACACGTTTTGTATAATTTAATTTAAATATTACAATGAACTGTAAGACTGGTTCTATTATGGTAATTATTTGCTGAGAACAAATTACTAACCTGATGGAATTTAGTATGCAGTTGAGATTTTCGTTTGTACATATGGTAGTTATGATAAAAATATATAGACTGTTTATTATATACACACGGGTATATTCGGTTATAATATATTCGTGTAATTCAAAATTAATATACGTGTAAAAAATATGAAATAATCGTTTTGAAAATATAAAAAATGTATAATTTACGTAAAGAACATCAATACCTAAATATAAAATATATTAGTTGAATATTTATCACGTGTGTAAAATTTCGCTTAAAACATAATTCGGTTAATTATTGTCATTATACTTTATTCATAATTATTAGTTGTATGACGTTTGATCATTCAATGATTCGACGGGACCGTTGTAAAATTAAGTTATGATTGAATTAAGCACTCAAACTCATGGATTTATGCCTATAAATAATGATTAATTACACCATTTTTTGAGTACTGAAAACTAATACTCCTATTGTTGTTTTTTTTTTTTTTTTTATGAGATAAATCTATTATTCAATTAAACATTTTTTGTTTTACTTTCTAATGATGTGTTTCTAAACGAATCAACTGTTATGTTACACTGTGATATCGCACGAAAATAACAACGATGATTCCTATTTTATTGTTATTAATTAATACCTAAAGTGAGATGGTTGATGAAAATAATTAATTTAAGTTAAGTTAAGAGAACATAAGATCGATCAGTTAATAGTTAACAGTTAACAATTCATAAATTTAACTCGATGAGTTAAAAGTTAATAAGGAAAAAAATATTAACACTTAACTCAGTTTAAAAAAATTTAATCTACTTTTTTAAATTAGTATGCATATCACACAAAAATTCTTTAGTAAGATCATTGTAAAATAGTTAAAAAAAAATTAACTTTTTAACTGAACTTTAAACTTTTTAACTAGTCAATGCCCACCTTTGCTTAATACTGTTATTATCAAATGACATTATATGAAAATCATTATCAACGAAAGTGGAAATACTTTTAATAAAACGGTTGTTTTCATAATGATGGTGATCCTTTTTAAACGAAACGGTTTAAAAACAAAACTCACCATTAAACTATTTTACCTGTTCGCCTTGTTTTAGTTTTATTATTTTTAACTCGTTATCACATCTCCCCGTCCCGAAATTTAATTGGGGACAGTTAATCCCGTTCGGTTTGTAATACAATCAATGAGTTAATTCACTGCCGTACGCGGCAGCCAACGTTGCAGTCCAATCATTGTTATAATTAGTGTACGGACGTTGAACTCGGTAAAACGAATCGCAAATTAAATATTTGTCGTCTCAGATTCGCCTAGACAGAATTTTTGGAATTACTTCCTACACGCGTGTAAATCAATTAATGCTTATGTCGCACTTTATCGTATACTATTTTGTTATGCTGTACAATAAATGTTACACTGAAAACGCAGAAACCGTACATTGCAAATATTTCACGTAATCATTTATTAATTTAAATTTTTTTTTCCTTTTACATTGCCTGATCGTTTGATATCTTTAAAAATAAACATGCTTGTTGAGTACGATTCTCCCCTGTTTTTCACGCAAAACCATGAATTCGGTTTATAAATTGCGCATCGTATATATTCATCTATGTATTATTACGCCATCACACCACGGATGCTAATGCCGTTAGTTAGACATGATATTTAATATTATTTGACAGAAAATTCCACAGATTACCTAAATTGATGTACGACTGGGGTTATGTTGATTAATATGATAGTAATAATAATAATAATAATAAATGTTTTTTTTTTTTGGAATTAAAAACACGTAACCAAAATGAATTTCCAGGTATGTTGTTTATCAAATTTACCGATTTAATTTTACTTAGCTTGCTTTTTAATTTTTCAATTGTTTATGTACGTTAGGTATTTGGAAAAAAATGTTTTTATAAGATTTATTATAAAATAATTTACTAAAAGTGTATAATATATATATATAAAACAGCATAAAACACGATCTTGTGGTTTAAAAACATGTTTATCTAAATTACAGTTTACACTTTTCGTCAATACACTCGTATTGACACACATAATACAATTGCTGCTTTAGCGCTGATGGCAAAGGGCATATTCGTATATATTATTATAACACATTTCGAAACGTTAGGAAGAAAAAAATCACCAAGAAATTTGACACTAGATCTGCATTTAGGAAGAACAAAATCAATTTGCTAAAAAAAAAAAAAAAAAATTCAGATAACAGACAAAATAACGAGCTGGTTGGTTTCATAAGCAGATAATTATATTCACCTTATCTTTTAATCTTGATCGCACGTCGGTAGTAAAATACATGAATCTATTATTATGGTTCTGTCGGCCTATTTGTGTGTAATGGGAGGACTTCAATTTCTCACGTCTTTATTAAAGATCTCCAAACCAATCTGGTGATTTATATCCTATCGTCGTCATATATTCTTGCATCTCCAGCAGACTAATTACTACATCATTTTATTATGGTTAGAATATATTATTAATTTTTCTAGATTTGTATTTAAAAAACTCATCACAAGTAAACTGTACATACAATATTATTTTATCATGTTTCGTTTACAGTTTTGACCAACAGTTATTTTTAATTTCTCAAACTCGACATTCTTTCTATAGGATACAATTATTTTCTATCATTATATTTAAATATAAAGCCTGTATAGTTCACTGATATTCATAACATCTATTATATGTTTAAGGCCGACTACTTGAATTATAAAATAATAATGAAAATAATAAATTAGGCTATATAAATGATTTATTATGAATTTATGGTAAATACTTGAAGTCATATAAAGAAGTTCATATTCTATACGAATTATTCGAAAACTTTTAAAATATTTAAAATTATATACACATTATACCTATGACAACATAATATCTTGAATTTATATATTGATGCATATATACGAGTACTTGAAACTGTTTTGAGAAAATACAGTATCTTATGGTCGAACAAATTGTACGTATACAAACAAGCAGCCATGACTAACGATTATTCCTACATTATTTGTTAAATTTAAATTAAAGTATATTAAACGTATATTAAAACTATAAACAGAAAAGAGTAACAATATATTGTTAAAAAAGAAGATTATGAATCCTTAAGACTTAAATATACATCTGGACGTTGTTGAAATAACATTATAGGTGTAGATGCATTAGATCATTAAAGCGGCCTCCATTAAAAAGAGGGAAACAATACAACTTATATATTACGGTTTCTCTGTGTTCGTGAATATCGTATATTCGGTGTATTTCTATTTAGGGAGACTAAAAATTAAAAGAGAAATATTTTAACTCGAAGAAAAAAAATGTTT